ACAGTCTAAAGGTGTTCAAATTACCCTGTTAACTCTTATGGCCGTATCTCCAATATTTTATATATTTTTATTCTTCACAATGACTTAACCAAGTGTGCACTTGGGCTTTTTAAACAGCTCTCTTACCAAATTTTTGTCTGGTTCATCTGCCAAATCCTAAGAGGAATGTTAGAAATATTCTCTTTATTTGTGGATTTGTCTATAGATTTTGACTTCTGTCAATTTTTGTCTTTATATTTTTTATCTTGAGGCTATGAGGTACATACACATTTAGAATCATTACAAGTTCTGATGAATGAAATTTTTTAGCAATATGTAATAATTCTCTTTACCTCTAGGAATGCTCTTTGGCCTCAAAAGTATTTTGCATAATATTAATATAGCTAATCAGCTTTCTTTTGGTTATTCGCCTGCTATGTCCTTTTATACACTTTTGATTTCAACTTTCTCATCTCCTTTGGTTTAGATGCGTTTTTCATTAATATCATGTACTTGGCTTGTTATAACATGTGACCTGACAATTTTTGTCAGTTAACTGAGCATTTAGCCTGCACCTGTGTATTGTAATGGCTGAGACATTCGTATTGCTCTCAACTATCATGATGTGTTTTCCTTTTTCCTCGCTCTTTCTGTTTCTTTTTCTTTTCATTTTGGGAGGTTTTTTGGGGGGAAGGAAGGAGTGAAGGAAGATTTAGGGGAATTTTTCTTTATACATATAATAAAGAGGCTTCTGACGTAAATTTACATGAAGACATGCGACTAGAGTCAGATGTTTTTCTAAGATCTGATTCTGATAAAAAGAAGTAGCAACAACAACATTAAAAAGAAATAGAGTAAACCAGAAGAGAGAGGAAATGATTCTTTAAAAGGAGGAGATGGACGCCACCGCACATCCATTAGAATGGTTACAACAAAAGAAAAAGAGAAACTCAAAAAGTAACGAGTGTGGGAAGGGTGTGGAGAAATGAAAACTTGTGCTCGTGGGTGGGAATGTAATATGTGCAGTCACTGTGGAAAGCAGCATGTCAGTTCTTCAAAAAATTAATACAATTAACACAGGATCCAGCAATCCCACCTCCTGATACGTGCCCAAAGGAACTGAAAACAGAGTCTCAAAGAGGTATTTGTTCACCCCTGTGAACAGCAGCATTATTTACAAGAGCCAAAAGGTAGAAACCTCAAGTGCCCATGGACAGATGAATGCATAAACGGACATGTGGTATATACAAACAACGGAATATAATTCAGCCTTTATAAAGAAGGAAATTCTAACACATATTTCCACAATGTCTGGGAGGCATTATGCTAAGTGCAATAAACCAGTCACAAAAGGACAGCTACAGTATGATTTCACATCAGTGGAGTACCCAGAAGAGGCAAATTCATAGCCACAGAAAGTGGAATGTGGGGAGGAGAGAATGGGGAGTCATTTTTTAATGAGGACAAAGTTTCAGTTTCGCAAGATGAACAAGGTTCTAAAGATGGATGCTGGCAACAGCTGCACGCCAGTGTGAATGTACTTAATGCCAGTAAAGTATATACATACAAATGGTTAAGATGGTAAATTTTGTGCTATGTGTATTTTACACATTTTTTTTTTTTTTTGCAGTTTTTCTCTGGGGCTGGGTTTGAACCCGCCACTTCCGACTTACAGCCGGTGCCCTACTCCTTTGAGCCACAGGCACTGCCCATTTTACACAACTTTTTAAAGTGGAAATGGTGACAGGAAAAGAAAAACCAACTTCACTTCCTTTACAATTGTCTGTGACCAGCCCTCAGTCTTTTGCTTCAGGGAGCTGTGGCTGTTGCTATTGACATTGACCTCTCACAACAATCCCATCAGACAGTTACTCCAATTAACCGCCAGGGAGGAGAGGAAAGAGACTCGCTCAGGTTCCCAGCTCCCACTGGACCGGAGCTCCAATCCAGGGATCCAGGTCCTCCAGGCAGCAGAAAACGCAAAGCAACATAGATATAGCCTGCAAACCACCACACACCTGTGGCCTTCGACACAAAATCCAAGCGCTTTCCACGAACTTGGGTTTTTGCTGACCATGGACACTACTTTATACAGTTTTCACTCAGTGGGAGTACTTCAAAGGCACAACTAAGCTATACTGTCCACCAAAAGCTACGTTTGTGAATGTCCCTGAAAGCGTATCTCTGGCCTCCGTGCTGAGCAGCTCTGCTTCAAGTCTCATCATACGGCTCTGAGTACCTGGCACATTTTCTGCCTAGTAAAGCTCTGCTGACGATTTGATAAAAGATAAATCCAACTTGAGAAAAGTTCAGCCCTAAATTTGGCTCGTGGGTGACACTGATAAAAGAGTAATCTTTTATATGCCTGTTTCTTTCTATGGCGAGTTATTTCTTGATTCTTTGCCGAGAACAGGGACTGTACCAAACTCGGTTTTGTATCCTTAGTCCCTCAACAAACTGATTGCTGAGGGGCTGGCTGAGGTATTGATTGGGTATTGGTGAAGGTGGTAGCAGTGGCTGGGAGTGGTATTGATACCAAAGCAAATTCCAAAAGTTGTAAAAAATAATAATAGCTAATGTTGAGAAGCACTGATTCTGCCAGACATTCCATCGGGTACCTTCCATATATATATATATTTTTTTTTTTTTTTTTTTTTTTTTTTT